TGCTGTTTGAATAGACATTCCAGGGTCCTAAAAATCTCACAGTTAGACATTTTTAAAACCGAAAGATAGTTTTTCTCCAAATAGATGATTAAATTTGCTACAAAATCAGTCCAAGAAAGACAATTTTTGTGCATGGCTTCTCTAAGATATATTTAACTTTGTAAGAATATGCGAAACCAATTAAAGATAATGCATAACATTTAGATAATTAGTTTCACTGAGTGTGTTTGTTGCAGGCGGCCGAAGAAAAGCTCGTTCAAAAGCATGCATTCTGCGTTTGCTGAAATAGCTTGGGATCATGTTGTACGATAATTATTATTATAACAAACCTATCTGAGTAATCTTTTCGAAACCAAAACGCATTTCAGAATATCGGTTGACATTTCATGACATAGCAAATCCACTGTACGAACTCAGGCGACTTTGTCGTCGACCGACTGAAACATGCCATGAACCAGTTTTTTTTCCCTCCCTTTGCCCTAGTACAAGAACGTCACAGAACGGGGGAAGAGGGGGAACAGGTCCTAGGGCCCAGTAAGCGGTTATCTGGTTCCTCGCACTATTAAGTTCCAATATTCTGGCTTACTAAGCCTAATTTATTTACGCTATCTTCCTAATCCAAATGCTAAGGAATGATGGAGAAAAAGCAATTCTGCTGCCGAAAGATCTTCTCATATGAGAAGTTCTGCTGACGTAACTAAAGTGGCGTTGGCTTGGGGAAAATCCCTTCATGTCCTCTCTCATCATCGACGACAGCGATCCTTTTAAGAATACGGATGTTGTTTGAATGGTGGTTCATGCTGTTGATCAGTGGTCTATGTGCGCTCGTGACCGCATATATTGCTGTGCATTTCGGATGTGTGTTTGCACTGTGAGGCGATTTGAGAGGCCTGGTGGATATTGACTCAAAACTACTGGCGACATTTCTTTGTTTCTGTTGCATTAGCCTCGGGGCTGACCAATAAGTTCCCCTTTGACAAGAGTAGATGGTGATTAGGTAGTGTCGGCACTGCTTGCAGTTTTCCTCGGCATTCCTGGACATGTATGTATGAGAAGATAAGGCGAGTTCAAATCTCGGGTGATCCACGTTTGGGATTAGATGTGATTAACTGGCTGATAAGAGCTAATAAGCCACAAATAGCCATTCCTGTTTCAGGTGGTACATACCCGAGATTGCATCTGATTGGTTGACGATGGCTAATAAGCCATCGGTTCCACTTCACATATATGTACGTTGGTGAGGCACTGGTTGAAAGTGGTTCAAGCTAGGGAATCCGGGACAGTAATGTGCGTTCAGACTAAGGGCTGGGGTTCTTCAAGTCTTTGGAGTCTTTCTTTACTATGAACAAAAGCTAACTAACATTTAAACTTTGTATGCTTTCATAAGGGCTGCTTATTGGTAAAGTGTTTAAAGAATTTTGGATTGTCGTCATTATGAACAACTCGTTCGTTTAGAATGCAAAATGCGTTCGATACTCAATTCTGCATGGTCTTTAGTGTATGTGTGCCTGTGTTGCACCAACTAGCTTTCAAAAGAATTTGGATCCACCAGAGCTAATTGCTATGCTTTTTCTAGCACACATCGACTCGTTCAGTCTGCCAAGCTTGTTGCTTAAGGTGGTGCCTATTTCGATTTTCGCATTCTTTTTGTGATCTGTTTTTGCCGAGTGAGTTAATCACTAGTGCATATTATTTTTGTCAGTAGCGTTCACGCCCTCTAGGGGTAAATGAATAGTCGTATTATCATACGTCTTTTGTAGTATTTTGAGTCAACTCAACATCCAGGCACGCAACTGGAGTGAAGACCCAAAAGCACGTGCCTTACTCATTACGACCTCTTCACCTCCCGTTTTTTCCCCTGACTTGATTCTCTGGCGTGCAGTTAAATGCTCTAAAATGTGCACTTCTCGGTGTCACCTTGGTGACGGACCTTGTTTCCCCGCCAGGCCACGTGACTGTCGTGTGCAAAGCGCACTTCTCTGCTCTTTTTTTCCCCAAGAAACCTCGGTTCGGTCGTTAAACATGTTTATATCCTATCCACATTTTGCCCTTAACCGCAGTCTAAAGCACCCTTAACCTGAACCGAATTTCACTAAATTAGTGCACTTGCGGGTTAGTGGGTTTTCAGCACCGCTCTGTATTATTTCAGCTATTTATCGGATATAAATGGTTCAATTTAATCAGAACAATTCTAGGGCCAGGTGGGTTGTGTCCTTCAAATAACGATTCGGTTACCTATCAACGCAGGGGGCGTCATACGGGCTTAAATGAATCCGTTTATGAGAACATATCTGAGCTAAATTACTCGTTGATGAACGTTCACCGACCGCTAGTGGAACTCA